TACTGGCACGTACTGTTGACCCTTGGGGTCCTTCCGGAAGGCTACCCCCCAGGCTGGTGGTGCGCACGTTCCACTATTTATTTATCGGTTATTTGTTTCTGATTCTTTTGTTTTCTTTTATTTTATCGCTCTGCTAACCCTTGGGGTCCATTTTATTTTGGTATACCTTTTCTAGGTACGTTAGCCTGTGACCACGGAAATTGACCGAGTCAAGTGCTGGATTAGTACGGAGAGATTGAGACAGAAGGAGGTACTGGATAGAGAGACCGGGATCGTTTTTAATGTGAAGACAACAACAACAACAAGACACCAGACAGACAGCCATGGCTAAATTTTCACGCCCCTGTGCATGAAAATTATTCTTTTTCTCGTGCGCACATACTCCACCCACGATCCCTCTAAACAGCTTTTTTTTTGCAAAACAAAACAAAAAGCGTACCCCTAAACGGGCCACACTTTTTCAAAAAAAAAACTATTATTAGACTAGAAGAAACGGAAGCTAATGGGGAGGGATACGAAAAAATGACTGGGGGCACATTTGAAGAAGTGAAGGAAGCCATTATCACACGGCAACTAAAATTTCTGGAAGATGAACATCTACCTGCCCCTAAAGAATTTTTCCAGATCCCAAACACGGCAAGACGCAAGTCTAGGAAAACCCATTGACCACCTACCAGATACCTGCTGCCGAAATTTCATAAAGATAAGGTAGCTTGTCGAAGTATAACCACATGCTGTGCTACTACTACGGAAGGGGCGGGACGAACAGCACATGCGTGTTCAGCTGAAATGTTACCAGTTTGTGATGCACTGTGGAGAGAAGTTGGAAGCTCCATCGGAATTGATTCAGAACGATCCTGGATCACTCAAGGTGGAGACGAAATTCTGGAGGTTCTGACCGGGGTGGATCAGATAGCGGGTTCAACTGGTGATCATTCACCACACACTGTAGAAACGTATGATTTTGTGGCAATGTATACTAACATTCCTTTGCCCACCCTTTTAGTCCATTGAAAGAATTCATTGATCTGGTGTTTGATTTCCAACTCCAGGATTTTGAGTTTCGTTCAATTTCTGTTACATATGGTTATAAGGATAGCTCTCCGTTCGGTAAAAAGGAACATGTACATTGGTCCAAGCAGGAAGGAACCAGTTCTAGTGGACAAGGACAACAAGGAGGGGGAGACGCTTCTTATTGGGAAAGATCGTCTATTCCGATGGTTTTAGTTTGTTTTGACGGAAGGGTACGTTCAGTTTGGACCTCATAATGTATGTATCGCCAGTCTTCTGGTATATTTATGGGATCCTCACCTGCACCTGATTTTGCTAATGTATTTGCTTACATGCATGAGTTAAGGCTTTACAAAGAGATGGTCACAGAGTTCAAAGCTGCTGCGCAATCTTGTGGTGACAGTCGTCGTGAGCCTACCTACCCTCGAGTGTTCATTGAACAATACGACGTAAGGACAAAGCGATACATTGATGACATCATCACTGTGGCTCTGGCTTCACAAGCCAATGGTTGAAGACGTGGGGATATCATATATAGCGGTGGTACTCTATACGATCCCGCAGACCTGGGCATGAGCGAAACGTTCGAAGGAATGTACGACAAACTGATTTAGTGATGAAGATGGAAACCTCATTCCTACCAGTATTGAGTTGGCCCAAGAACAAGTAGGACATCGCGCGCACTGACATGGAAATAGTCCAAACCAGTTAAGGTCCTCTACAATCGACTACTACTCGTTGCTGCTGCTACTGCCCTTCATGAAGGATGCTCTACAACATGGCTGAGACACGCTGCAAACGGTCTCGACAACACTCTTCGGCACACACCGTTCGAAGAAAAAAGGAAGTTCTACCTACATTGACTGCATTCTACTGCTGTGCTGACCGCCGTCTGTTCATTTGCCTCGATGATACAAGAAAGACTAAACTCCATTGCTGTATATCAGTATCACTCCGAACCTACTATCCTATGTATCCCCCTCCTCTTCAACGCGTTTCACCTACACGAAGAACAACATAACACTAAAGATTTCAAAATAAGCACGGAACAGCCACACTCAAATCTACAGTACAACTCCAACTGTTGAAACTCAAAAATTTCAAAAAAAAAAGTGGTGCGTGTACATGGACAATACTCCTACAGCAGTATATATTCAAGTCGCCTGAAACAGCAGCGATGTACTTTCTAAAAACAGCGAGTTGTCAAACGACACTGCGCCATGTTCCCTGTGAAGGTCACATTCCACATAAAATAATGTATCCGCCTATACAGATGCTTTTGTTCTTAGCTGCAACTGGCATTGCTGATAACTCAGTGTTAGGCTTACAAGTTGGTCCGGCCATAAAACCCGTATTTAGTCAGATGATCACATCTCTTGAACGGCAACGAATGACGGCAAGCTGATCGTATCCCACAAATGGCCAGGACATGGCGCTCACTCCCATATCTTCCACTTGGAAATCCGTGAACATGGTGCTGCAAAAGCCGCTTCTCAATTGGGAGTACTTCTTTTGAATTGGGTCCCGGAGTAGCAGCGTTTGGGCTGGCCCTTATTTTTAAGACAAAATCAAATCGACTGATTCCGCTCAAACTTGGTTTGCGCGTAACCACCGATGCCAGTCGAAGTATGATGGCCTGCCTTACCATAGCGTAGTTCGTTGTGGAGTTATGGCTGAGTTCCTGCAATATATGTAACTTTGTACAGCGATCGTGGCACGAATATCGAGATGCGCCACTGGGTTTTACGAGTTGGGACATGCAATTTTGACGTGTGATATGGGACGTTCTCGCCAAGACGCCACCGGAAAACCCTAGGCATTTTTGTTTCATTTTCGCCGACTTGCGCCCGTCTTTTGTATCCCTCGAGAGTGGAAGTTGGCCATATTTCGACACAAAAGACAAAAATGCTTAGGGTTTCCGGTGGCGTTTTGATGAGAACGTTCCAGATCACGTGTCAAAATTTCAGGTCGTAACTCGAAAATCAGCGGCGCGTGGCCATATTGGCGAGTCCCAGCCGTCTTGGCCGGACCAGCTTGTACACAAACTCAAAATAAGTCAAGTCTCCAGTGGTTTCAATCCACTTACTAAAAGACTTCACCACATCCCTTTCGACTGAGCTTATATCTCGAACGGGTAGCCTTTCTGTGAGGTTATGTTTACTTTCTAAAAAGGATGCCTTCACGAACGTAACAGCGTATCAAAATCGCGGATGAGACGAGAATGTTGTCCGAAAACACCCAAACATTTTCCCCGTGACCTGGTGATTGCGGACGCACAGCAGTGTTCGCCGTACTCTTCGCACCTGGCCTTCCTCGGAGAACGAAAACGCATCAGGGTAGATGCAGCTGAGCAGATATCGGTGCAGCAGGCTGCAGTTCACGCCGTCCTTTACCGATGTGTAGACCAAGGCCGCTCCGTCTGCACATGAGTCAGATACGAGGAGTGGATGAGCAACTAAAACATGCCGTTTTATATCCGCGAAACGTGCGATGGTGAGCCTGTGGTGGCGACAAACGGGTTCCTGTGGCCCCACTATTCTTCGCACAGGTCGGAAAAAGAGAACACGAGGCGGGGGTAGTATCTTCTTCGAGCGCTCGAGAGTGGGATGAAAACACGAATGTACCACTGGGAATGCCAAACCAACGTATCGTGGCAAAGATGACCGACACATGAAAAGTCGGTAATGGCACGCATGCCAAAAATATATGCTGAAGGGAGGGGTATACAATGCTATAGTTAGGTTGGATGAGAATATATGGTCAAGGAGATGCTCATGCACAAACAAACAAAAAAGACATGGTGTCGCCGAGAATTGCCGAGTCAAGCTCGAACACATATGGGCCAACTTCGACCGATATTAATGAACACAGCACGACCCGAACCACAGCAAAATACTGAGAATGGTTCTAACCGCTCGTTTTTACTCCTAGGCTCACATTTCAGGCAGAATCGGCGAAGGCTCTGCTGGATAAAGTGCAATCGCTGCTGCTGCTCGAACGTCTCGCTCTGCAATGAGTCCGCTTTGCACCCGACCACCACCATGGGCACGCCAAGATTTCTCTCTAGAACTCCGTCGCCCAGGCCCCCGCCAGGAGGGTCGTTGCCGCTGCTGCCTCCCATCCTGCCACCCGCTCCGCCGATCTCCTTTGCTTTCCCTCTTAGTCTCTCCTTGACGGCGCTGCGCAGGTCGTCCTGGGCTCCGACGGAGAGCTGCAAGAGCAGCGAGGTCACGTGCTTTTCCATCGCCGACGTCCACTGGAGTGGTAAAGTTGCACGGGTGAGCCACGGTAGTGTGTGTGTGTGGGGGAGGTGTGCTCATAGTCGTGCATGCCGTAGTCGTTAGACCATTGACCTCGCATCCCTACAAAGCCGGGACGGAGTACGCCGGGTTCTCACCGGACCAAGCTCTCGCATCACCAAGCGCGAAGCGCCGTGAGGTATTCGGCGAGTCGCATGAAGGGTGCGCTGCATCCTGCTAAGGGTGTTCGGCATCTTGTGCTTACTTCCTTGCGTACGGATTACAGCTGCGTATGAGTCAATTTATTTTCTGGTGCTTTCACTTCCAGAGACAGTTGTAAGCACTGTGTAACTGCCTCGAGGGTGCTTACCAATTTAACACAACGTGGTGCGATCATCCCCCTTGCGCGGAGTGAGGACTCTCGACCCCGCACAACATGATATACTCGACCACCATCAAGGTTACCGCAAAAAAAGAAAGGTAAAAAAACCCCGGTAACCTGGTTGCCGAGTTCACGAAGTGAACGAAGTGAAGTGGTTTGCTTTACAACGTCGTTGCCAAGCGACGAGAACCCAATCCCGATGGCAAACACCG